AGTCTCTCATGCAGCTTATGCCGCGGGCCTCGGCCAACAAGCACGCTGCTGTTCGAAATAGAGACCGCCGTTATTGCTTCTGCTCTTCGAAACACGTGCATCATGGACTTCTTTGGGCAAAAAAAGTTTGTGTTTTCACTCGAAACTTTTTTAAAAGCTGTGTTTCATTTACTACGAACTTCGGGATACAGCGAACGGATGGCGCGTCAGGCTCAGGTTCGTTATAAGCGGGCTTGAGGGCGGTACATTCTTCTGACCATCCTCTGTTCCCCTGGCTCGCCGTATGCTCTGGCGCTTGCAAGGCCGTACGGTGTCGTAAAAGGGGGCAGTGTGCTCACTGCCCTGTCCCTTTGCTGCATTGCCATGGCCCTGCCTGTGTCGACAAATCGGGTGCCTGCCAGTGGCGCTGCCGCTAGTTTCTCCTGCAAACTTCTCTTGCGCTGGAGTTACGGGGGTAATAAACGTGGGGTCGGAGGCGGAAGTCAGGGCCACCACAATGACACGGAAATAAATATATGTAAACATATATAGAAGGGGTCAGGGATCTTCAATTTAATTGTTTTTAAACTGGCCCAAGTTATTGAAAATTTTTCTATTTCTTGTGTGAACAGCTGCAGCGCATGCTCACACCATTCACTGGTTTAAGGACCTTTGTCGGTACCACACGTGCCACTTTGCTGCACTTCCTTTGTATGCTTGATTTTCTGAAGGATCAGAATCTGTGTCTATCCACAAATTGCAGCTGTTACAAAGACGGCCTACTGCGTCATCTGGACCGGAAGGGCACGCTTTTTACAGCCTCCGGCAGTCGCGTACATGAAGTATGTCGTGTACTTGCAGAGAAATTTTCGCGGCATTGTATGACGACAAAAAGAGCTGGACCCATCTATGAGTGACCACAGTGTCAAATACGATGAAAGAAAGCAAGAAGAAGCAACAAAACACGAGGACAGTGATCACAAAACCATAATCATGCTCTGGAGAAACTAGAGAAATCGGTCAGCAGAACATTACGACATCGCGGCCTTTTTATACTTGAACTTCTGGCTGATGACTGCGCCAACCAGATACGTATATTGAATGATGCAAGATTTGCTTTTCTGGGTGGTTTCTCTTGGGTTGTTTCACTGATTTGCCCTATTTGTTATATTTTCAATATTTTCTTATATTTGACGCTGGCGTTTAACCATTTATGCGTAGATTCTTGTATAGCACCTGCATTGCTCATTTTTTTTCATCAGAATTACATAGTAACGACGTTTTTGTCTTTGGCCTTTGGATGCCCACTAATGTGCTTTCCATTTGCATTCAATATTCCTTACATTTATTTTGTTTTTGTTTTTGTGGTCGATTAGTAGATTTTGATTTATGTTTGTTGCATCTGTTTATTCTTTGGCTGAGTGACAATTTTTGCAATTTAATTCTATATTGCGATATAGCAATCGTTTACGCATACATAGACACTGCGCTATTGTGCAAATAAAATAAATTTGTCAGCACGTGATGCTGATGAGTGTTTTTTCATATCCTATTTTATTCACACTGCCGAAGAACTGGTTAAATTTAATTCTACGGTGTAGTGAAAATATGTGTCTGTGTTTGTTGTATATTACTTGTTAATTACTGATTATAACCATGCATAGGTATTTTTTTATTAGATCACTTAGTACCACATTTGCCTACACGCCCACCGGTCTGATAACCTTGTATGATCTATGTCTGCCATTGAAAAAGTTGTTAGAATTACAACGTATATACATTTATCACAAAGCAAAATTATACTACCCTTGAATGATTCTCGGAAAAAAGAACCATTAAGTAGGTTAGCTGCTATTAGTCCCGCCCATATGCGAAAAAAAAAAGAAGTAAAGAATTGCAGTACGAGGCGTTGTTTCCATTTGCACAGTGGGACTCTAGAGGAGAGAGTAAACCAGCTAATATCGCTACAGTGGCAAAATAGCATTGAACATCGTATCGATTAGCAGGCAAAAAAAAAGAAAAAAACTTCAATGCTTTCAACAACACGCTAGCTGTTACTTCAGTGGCTGTGGAGAGGAGCATTTATCCATGCAATGGCCGCTTAAAACAACACCTACTTTCCGTTATTCAGTCGCCATGGCAGTATTTTATTTCACAACACAGAAAAGTTGCACATGCGTCATAACTTTGGCTTTTCTCATGCGCAATAGCCGCGCCTTTCAGCCCGCTGGAAAGCTTCAGGTGACGCTGCGAGCCGCGCCGCCAGTCGGTGACGACAGAAGGTGTGTCGCTCTCCACCCCTCAGTGAGCACACTGCCTCATTCTAGTACACTGTTAAGGCCAGCGTGCTTTGTGCGTCCCGTTCGCCACCATCCCCCTCGGTTTTCCCACGTGCTCTTCAATCTTTCACTGTCTTTACGAGATGATCTTTCGCCGTGTTCACGGGAAATCGATCGTTATGCTGTCGGTCACAATAGGCAAAACAAAATTCGGTACTCTGCACGCGTTTGGATCAAGAAAGCGTCGGATACACCTCTTCGCATGGCGCGGCTCGTTCACACGACAACGTGCGAGGACAATCGAATTGATGCTTTCGGCGGTGCAGTTTTAACTTCGTCTCAGCAAGACAACGACTGCATTGGCATTTATCGCGACGTCGAGATGGCTACATCGTCCGTACAAGCCCCCATCGTCAAAACTGAGGATGGTGTTGGTGTTTCGTGCTCAAGTGCACCTGATGCGTCGCGCTCACTAACCACAGTGATTACAGCCCCGAACAGTGCGACTGCGTGTTGACTGTGCATTTGCAGACACGTTTTCGGACGTGAGAGGTGTTAGCCGCGCAGGATAGCAAAAGTGCTGCTGTGCAACAAAAGCTCGGCGCTATGCCGGCGACCGAGAGGTAGTTTCAGATGATGCCTCAACCTGAGAGAGACACACTCTCTGTCTGAAAAAGGCTTAAAAACGGATGCAACACAAGCAGGGAAAGTGGCAAAGGAAGTGAGTCCCAAGGGGCACATCTTACTACGTGCAGGGTCATTTTAGACCAAAATATGTGTTCAAAACTTTCGAAGTCCGTTTTCTCAGAATGACTGTTTTGGCTAGTGAGGCTGTTTAGTCTGGTGATATCTCTGCAACCTTTTATATCTTTTTATTATGTACCTTTATAAATAGCCCAACCACTGACAGAGCGTCTTCTTAGAATTTATTGTCTATAATTTGTGATAATTTCAATTTCATGATAACAGCTCAATGGCAAACTCTGCATCTAGTGCTCTGCTAAATATTTTCAGCAAGGAAAAAGGGGGTCTGTTTTCGTGTAAAGCTCTGATCCCGGAGCCTTCACAGTGAATCTCGCGGTGCTAGCACATTACTAAATTCACCAGAGCCTGACAAGAAAGCTATGTGGACTATCCTGATAAATGGATGTAACTTGGGAACCAGTTAACCTAAATGCATGAACTATTGTGGGTATTCAAATGGCTCTATTACCAGCCTACACTGAGAATTTCATTAGGTTATCTCAACAACAACAAAAAAATCGCTGTTCCATGGTTGCCTCCCCCCTTAATTGCAGCCTCGTTGTCCAACGAGACCAAGGGCCAAAGGTATTTGGCGCTCTCTGCTCGCAGAACAGGTGTAGGGTTGTGCATCTCTCTCTGATCGTTGCCAGTGCTTTATGCCTCCTACATTATGCCTAGTTAGCCTATTCTTCTGCACTGTTACTGAGTTTCAGTTTGTATTATCCACTCGTGCATGCATACTACCTACGTTATGCGGCGAGGCGCAGATAACATTAGTTTCTTTCTTTTTCCTCCCTCTACCCTTCATGTCTTGAATAATCCCCCTCCCTCCTTCCTCTCTCTCAAAAACTCCCATTCCGCGGTTTCACATCGAGCAGCACTCTTGTGGGCCGTTTGTGTGGCGCAAGAGATGCAAGATCAGGGTCACAGCGGCCCTACCGTCGTTTGGTGGTGAAACATATTAAAAAACTACCCCATTTCTTTCACAATGGGTTAAAAGGCCGTGGTCTGGCAAACTCAATAGTAAGTACCGAATATTCAGTGAAGAAAATTGTATTTTTTTTTTACCAGAAATAATGTTGATTGAGGATGATGTTTGACCCTAGAAAGTTGCTCCAAAACGCACCTTTTGGTGCTCCGAACCTGCTTCAAACTACCCCTTTTACTGCGCTAAAGCTGCTCCAAAACAATGAATTCCACTTCCAACCCTGAAAAAAAGCATACGTGAATTGTTTTTTTTTTTGGTGGTGAGACTTCTAAATGTAAAAATATTAAAAAGAAAATAAAACATAAAAATAGCAGGTAAGTTCTGATGAGTGAATCAATAAGTAAAACTTGAAAATTAAAATTTTTAAGTTAAGTACTCTGTGAACATAAGCACAAGGTGTGCTCCTAGGGGCTTTGAACACCGCGTAAAAAATTTACTCATAGGCCGACAATGGCAACCTCTGCGATGCTGCCAACCGTAATTGAAGATCTTTTGACAGTGGCTTTGAGTCCTGTTGAATAAATATTGTGTTTCTGTGCCTCAGGACAGTGTTAGTTACCAGTTTCATTCTGCTACTTGGAGTTTTTCAATGCCATGCATGACCACGCATTTTGCAGTCTTATACACTGGCAAATATGGCGCCTTTGCTAAATTTCTCAACATCGAAGCTGTTCTAGTGCTGGGCCTGACGGCATCGCGTGCCATGCTCTGGTTCTCAGATACACCTATAGAGGGTGTAACTGCCTCGGTTGGGGATGTCTCATGACTCGGTAGCCACACAGTGAAAGAGGAAAGGCGTGAATAGGGCCTGAAGTCGCTGCAGAGAAAGCAAGTGTGGTAGAGGCTTTCACATGTCTATAAACCTACATAATTGCGTACACGAACTCACATGTGCAAAACGTCACAAGAAAAATTACAAGGGCAACACAGGATAACTGTAGCTCCGCTGTTTCTGCAGATTTCATGCTGGGTGGAACTGGAGCAGCATTTTTATTGTCTGTCCTTTCCAGGAATTGTGAGATGCGAGAGAAGCTGGAAGCTGTGATGGCCCAACTGCAGGAGCTGGAGCAGGAGCGCAACCGCCAGATGGCACTGGTGGCCTCGACGGCTCGTCAGCGCGACATGTACCGTGCCCTCCTCACCAGCAGCAGCCGAAAGGACACCGAGCTGCCCACACCAATGGTAGGTGTTGGCTGTTTTTTTGTCATCAGTGGGTAGGAAGGCTAGGCCAGGTGCGTAGCCAGAATGTGGCACACCAAGCGTGTGCCCCCCCCCCCCCCCCCCCCCCCCCCCCCGAAATTTTTTCGCCATGGGATGGAGAGTGAAAAATGGCCATTTTGAGGGGATGCCCCTCTTGAACTCAAGGTGGTGCCCCCCCCACTGGAAAAAATTTCTGGCTACTTGTGCCTGCGCCAGGCTAGTTTTAGTTTGTACAGTTACTTAATAAAGGGTGGGCGTGACAAAACACCTTACAGCTTCCTATAATAACTGGCATTGCAATCATTTGGCCATCATGGGAATGATGGGTCATACATATATTTGCTGAGTCTTAGTGTTTACGGGCTGCGAATGCATTTGTGGCTTCGTTTATTGTAGTGTTTTGGTTTTTTGTTTCGAAGGAAAGAACGAACCTTTTTGAACTTCGCGAGTTGACTTTAAAGGGTAAGCCTAAGAGGTCGAAGTAGTGAAGTGCATCTGCTAAATTTTTGCCGGTTGTTGTTTTCTGACAAAGCAACTTCAAGCCACATGAGGCCAATGTGAGCTAGAAGTATGAAAGTTAGACAAATTCGTGTACTTCCCATGATTCCCATGCTCGCTGAAGCGCCGCGCATTGCAGCTCCCATGGACACTACCACCAGAGTTCCCCCCCTCTAGTGTACTTATAGGAAACTCTATGCAAAAAATGACTCCTGGAGAGACTAAGTATACAGGACGAAAACTAACTACCAACTGAAGCTGCACAAAACGCTAGCTTTATAATTACATCTATCACATCGTGTGTGTTTCATCTTTGGTTTAGGTGCGATCCACAGTGGCTCTTGTATGCGCAGTGATGTTATGGCATGCCCCATTCACGTGCTGTAGGTGACCAGCCCGTTTCATCTCTGCTTCAGCAGCACTTGCTTGCAGTGCTGGTGTGCTTTCACTAGCATGTAGAATGTGTGACACAAAGGCAGTGCTATTGATTTGGACTTTATGTGGGACATGGCAGTGACGGTGACATCAAAACCCCGCAAAGAATGACTATATACCGTATTTACTCATGTAAATAATGTGCTCGCATAATGGATGGAAACAGCTTTGTTGATGCATAATAAACGCACCCCCTACATTTGTCCGCTGCAGTCCTGCCAATCGACACCTGGCGCCTCCTTCCCAGTTGCATCTCTCTTGTTCTTTATTATCCCGACCCCCCTCGGTCACCTCGGCTCGCTCTCTCCCCCCTCTTCGCCCGCTGGATAGTTTTTCTTTCTATCTATGCGCGGCACGTACCCAGTCTTTCTTAAATATTTATGTGCCACAGCAGGGTTCACGAACGATGCGAGTGCAGAGACATCGTAGCTGACAAGCACATAGCGAGCGAAGGTCACGAAACTTTCTGCGCCAACGGACGGTCCCTTCCTGAAGATACGAAACATTAAGGCCCAACCACATGCACGCAATTTTAGAGCGATGACGACAGAATTTGCTGTCGCTATGGTTGTCGTGAAGGGCCGCTTGTCGCCATTGCGTCGCAGGTTTCTGGAAAACCAGAAAGAAATTGCTTGTCGCCTAGAAAAGATTGTGACTATTTCTACAACATGGTCCCCGATTCTCCCTTTGGTTGCAAGCGAGATGGCCACGATATTTCGTCGTTAACATTGTTATTGATGGTTTTAGTTTTGAAGCTTCGGTGGTTGCTTACTACAATGTCAACGTTGCCGTTGCTGTCGTCGTGCGAGGTACCCACGAAGGTGGCAAAGCGCGTCGTGGCGTTGTAGCTCACGCTTCTGGGTGTCCCTCAAGATCATAGTAGATACCACTGCTGGGGTTAAACTATTGAGAGAAAAGTTAGCCGCGAAGCGCTTTTATGGCGTGCACGGGTGGCCTGGGAACAGCCTGCAGAAAATAGCGCTTTAAATTACCGAAGATGAGTGAAGTGCAACAAAGGAGCTGAGTGACCTAAATTTTGTTTTTTGCATTACAGCATTTTTTTGCTCATACCGAAAACGTTCTCATAAAATTTGTCCCGCGTAATAAATGCACCCTCAACTTTGCTTGAATTTCTCGATAAAAATATAGTAGACTCTCAGTAAATAAAACTCTGTTACACGGAAGTGCTACTTAAATAAAACAAAATCTTCTGACAAGATTGATTTCGTTCTTGCATTGTTTGCCCCTGTTCATCTCTCAGTAAACGGAACTCCTGTTAAACGGAACACATTTTACTGGTCCCTTCAGGTTCCGTTTAATGAGAGTCTATTGTAGTTTGTTCATTATGTGAGTCAATACAGTATTTGCTATCTCAAGGAAAGAAATGAAAACAAGAAAAGTAGGAAGGAAGCATTGCGCCAAGTCACAATTTCTCTGGGTGCCATCATACTTCTATAAATCCTTCTGCAAGAGTCCTTGCGTGTAATTTTTCTTTTCGTGAGGAAAGTCCTTGCTGGTTGCTTTCTGTTATATCTGGCAGGACGATGAAAGTGTGTTAGATCCGCACACCATATCGATGCCGGCTGTGAAGCACACGCCTGAGAGGTTGCCCGGCACCAAGGTGGTGCCACAGGACTCCAAAGCTGCCCTGGGCGAACTCCAGAAAGAGTTTGACACCTACAAAAAGGAAATGGCAGAGAACCACAGGTGGGTGAAAAAAACGTAGTCTGTTGATTTTTTAATAAAATTTCATTCGGACCTAGTTGGTACATATCTATGAATGAATTTTTTATTTGAATGTACTGCACGCTCAATTAACCCTTGCAGGAAGGCTTACAGAAGAAATGAACATTTCAAAGCAAAAACAAAAGATAATCATGAACAGAAATGAATGGCTTGCATTTCAGTAACAAATGATTCCACAGTAGGTCGATTCGCAATATTATCAGGTAACTTGTTTCTCTGAGAAATTGCTAAGAGGGAAAGTGAATATTTATGCGTGTTAGCATGGCTTGAAGCTGCTCTGACTATTTTACTGTAGTTATGTCTCGATGAGTATAGTAAAGGATGACATAAATAATGTCACTGGAATATTCAAATGATTGCGATTGTAATGTACAGTCCTCATTAATTGATTGATTGATATGTGGTGTTTAATGTCCCAAAACCACCATATGATTATGAGAGACACCGTAGTGGAAAGCTCCGGAGATTTTGACCACCTGGGGTTCTTTAATGTGCACCCAAATCTGAGCACACGGGCCTACAACATTTCCGCCTCCATCGGAAATGCAGCCGCCGCAGCCGGGATTCGATCCCGCGACCTGCGGGTCAGCTGCCGAGTACCTTAGCCACTTGACCACCGCGGCGGGGCGCGAGACAAAAGATAAATGAATTTAAGCTTGGAAACCATTCTTCGTTGTGTAAGTTAAATCCTTGCTTTTGCTAATAATGTTAAACCTGGATGTAACAAAATCGGAAAAAGTTTGCGAATTTTCGTTACATCGAGGTTTTCGTTACATGCATTTTTAGGTAAAAATTAGAGAAGCTATTGCGAAAACCAAATGAAGATGTGGCGGATGCCAATACAGTACCACTCACTTCAAAAAATACTTATTTAGCACAAAAAACTGCATCATTTTGGCTTGCGTCTTCTGCGTCAAACATGACGTTGCGTGGCGGTTCCGAGAAACGAAGTCGTCTAATGCTGCCTCGTCATCCTGTGAACCAACGTGACGATGCAGAAAGTCCAGCGCGTCTAAGATATCCTTCGCGGTAGGCAACGGTGATGGATCTGCTTTTAAAGCACCTTCATCATCACCGCGATCTTGGGCAGATTCAAGAAGTGCCACATTCGACATTTCTTCGGTTTCTTCAGTAGACATTGCATCACTGCTGGCGTACAAAAAGTCAAGTACAATGTCGTTAGGCAGTCACGGCACTTCACCATTTGTGCGAAGTGTATCCCACGCTTCACTTATGTTGATGGATTTGAAGGTTCGTGGGGCTCCTCTTCGTCGACTCCGGACTCTGTGATCACTGGCACCCGTGCTTTCACGAAGCAGTTTGCGACTGTGTCGGCTTTCACGTCCTGCCAGGAAGCAGCAAGCCTCTCGATGGCTTGAGAAATGTCTATTTTTGTTGGCCGTTCAAAGCGCATATCCAAGAGGATCTTTTGAATGACGCGATGACGATAGCAACACCTGAAGCTGTTGATAATCTCTTTGTCTAGTGGCTGTATTAGTGACATGCAATTGGCAGGGAAGTACTGCAGCTTGATGTTCGCCAGCTGAAGGTCTTTGATGTGGTGCGCGGAGCAATTGTCAAGCAGTAGACATATTTGCCAACCATGACGCTTGACATCTTCGTTAAATGCCTTCAGCCATTCAATGAAGATTTCTCGGCTCATCCAGGCCTTCGAATTGGCCACGCACTTAACTGGCATCCGCTTCGTGCCTTTGAAACACCTTGGCCGGGCATTTCTTTCTATAACTAATGGTATCATTTTGTCGCTGCCATGACTGTTTGCACTAAGCAAGACCGTGACGCATTGTTCGCTCTTCTTGCCACCTCGACAATTGCGCCCTTTGAGCTTGAGCGTGTGATTCAGCAACATCTGATAGAACAAGGCCGTTTCATTGGCGTTGTACAAGTCCGCCGCCTCATAGCGGTCCAAGATGGGGAACTTCTCGGCCACCCATGAGGCAGAGGCATCGCTGTCAGCAAATAGGAACTCGCAGCTAACCATTCTACCGACGACACCGTGTCGGTTCTTGAACTCCTGCAGCCAGCTGTTACTCGCCTTGAAATCGTAATGGCCAAGAATACACGCAAAATCTTTCGCTTTTGCTGCAGAATTGCGCCACTTATGCCTACGTTGCGTGCCGGTGTGTCCAGGAACCAGGTGACGACAGCCTTGTCCACATTGGCTTACGTAGACTTCTTCAGTTTTTTCTTCTTTGCACCCGTGCTCGACTCCGCTGCCTCTTGGATGCTGTACTTTGCTCTCAATATTGTCGACAGCGAGCTGGCTGGGATATTAAATCGTACAGCAACGTCTTTCTTCTTCTCATCCTCAGAAACCACGCTTACAATCATAAGCTTTTCTTCGAAAGACAAAACCTTGTGCTTTCTCGGCACGAAGCTCATTTTCACAACGAGGGCAGCTGAGAGGCCTAACAAGACTATGAAATGCCTGGAATGCCTGGCGCTCACCTCGCGGCTCCCACCTGACCCGTCTCACTGCTTCGTTCACCCGTTCGGCGCAGTAGCGCCATCAGACGATGCAACTCACAAGCGAAAGCTGCACAGCGTGTCCTTCAAGGCTGCGCATCGTGTTACCACCTCGAAGGCTTTGCAACGAGGAAAGTCCGTTGGCCGCTACGCGGCGCAAGCTATTCTAGCGATGGTTGTATCATCATCGCGGCACGCACTTGCCTGCTGCAATGGCATGTGTTCTACCCGCGGCTGCCCCCTTGTACTATTAATTTTCGTATTATAGAACTCACACATTGTACATACTAAATTTTACCAATGTTAGACTCAAATAAGAAATGATCAGTGCTGAAAATTCGTTACATTTAAGTCTATTACCGCAACATCTTTGTTACATGGAGGTCACAAATATGTGATCTTCTATGGGGATGGTGTCGGGAATTGAAAAAAATTTGTTAAATCCAGGAATTTGTTACCTTCAGGTTCATTAAATCCAGGTTCATCTGTAGCTCAGAAATGCTGCATTGTCTAGAATACGCAGAGTATACGAATCTGGCAGCTAGTTTTTGAATCCATTCAATTTTATCGGTTCAATGTTAACAGTGCAAACACTAAGAAAAGAAACGACACACACGAGCACTTTATTCCTTCATTTTGTTATAGCTGTTATAGATTCATGATGAAACCTAGTGCGTGGAAAACAGGACACATAGAAGGATACATGGGACAATCACCATGTAGTTGAGAGGAACTGAAGTTGAGGGGTGTTCTGAGCGAGCCATTATAGATTCATGATTAGACTTGGTGCATGGAAAACAGGACACACAGAAGAATACATGGGACAATCACTGTGTATTTCAGAGAAACTGAAGTTGAGGGGTGTTCTGAGCGAGCTGTTATAGATCTATCATGAAACTTAGTGTGCGGGAAACAGGACACATAGAAGGCTAGAAGGCTAGGTGGGGCAAGCACCATGTAGTTGCGAGGAACTGAAGTTGAGGGGTGCTCTGGGCGAGCACCCCTCAACTTCAGTTGCGAAGACATGGGAAAAGAGCATCGCTACCCCGACTGAAACAGCATGACCGCCCAGTTCAGAAGGATGTCGGCACGAAGAGCTCGGGAAGTGGCCGTCGACCCCGTAGATCGTCCTTAGTGAGGCTGCCCAGACTTGCCGCTTCCTGCCCAGCAGTTCCTGGCTGGCTTGCAGCTTCCTCTCATTGCATTGGGAAAGGAGCAGCCCACACCTGTCAGCATAGTAGCCGCATCAGCGGGGGAGTCTTTGATGAGTGGGGCCTAGCGAGGCCAAAAATCGAGACAAGGAGTGAGACAAGGACCGAGACACCAGCAATGCAGATGAGTGGATCGTCAAGCAGACGCACTCTGACAACGATGATGGCAAAGTTCTAGCTCGTTCGTTCTAGCTCCGAGGGTGGCATATGAACTGTAAGAATGTTCTATTATTGCAGGAGTGCATGAGAGCAGCCAATTGAGACGCCATTTTGGCTAGGGACAGATTAGGGCTAAGCATCAAACTTGTCTTGGATTGAAGTTAGTTATGATTTCCTTGTATAGTCGATTATTGTGTGCATATCTATTTTTGTGAGCCAATTCTGAGTGTCATATTACTGTTTGCCATTTTGTTTGGTGTGATGAAGTGTGTTTTTCCTGCCACACCTGCGTCTCTCCCGCGTCTCTCTCTCAATACAACCTTTCGTAAGCACTCCCGAGGTAAGATCCGTGACACAGGTATAAATAAATGGCGAGACTAAGTGCATAAAACAGGGCTTGTAAAAGAAGGCACGGGATCGATGTGGCCCATGTCTTCTTATCGGTCTTCAGTTCTCCACACTCTAAGTCTCTCGTCATTAAATCTGTCCCTCCTATTGACATTTTGCGTGTAGATGTTTCCCTAAATTATGATGTACTGTAATAGGGCAGTGTGCGGTCTCCACAGCAAACCAAAGGGACAGTTGTGGTCGCTTTTGCGATGATACCACCAGTAGGACGCCGCCATCGAATGGTGTACCCAGCGTCCATAATTCAAATTAGCAATGCAGATTCTGAGTAAAATAATCACATAACTTAATTAAAATTAAAAGTATCCATAAGATTAAAATGCATCTAAATAATCTAAATCTTTTTTTAGCCCTAGTCACTGCTCCTAATTCAACATATGGTGTCTCAACAATCGAACGATCGTACGGTTCACGTCGGCTTCTCTTTGTTGCCGTGTTGAGGTTTGTCAAGTACGTCGTTGACTTTCTCCTCGACTTCCTACTGTCTTCGTCGGTTGGTCCCGCCGAACCAACCACTCGTTGTCATCGCCGGTGTCCCGGACTTGGTCTTGTTCAGCCTCGCTAGGCTAAGCTTAGCCTCATCTGGGACTCTCTTGATGGCAAGTTTGCCCTGATGACTTGTGTGGGCTGTTCCATCCTGCCGCGAAATGGAAGAGCTGCAAGTCAACCAAGAACTGCTGTGCAAGTGTGTGGCAA